GCAGCCAGGATGGCCTGGAACTGCGCGATCCTCTCTAACAGGTCACTGTAGAAGTTGCCCTCCACGGTGGACTGTGGGCTGGGGTTGGCTGTGGGGGCCAAGGGCAGCAGGGGCATGGACACAGATGTGGCCTTGGTCAGGAGTGCCCCAGAGTAAGATCTGTCATACATGTCCTCAGTGAAGTAGCCTCCTCCATTGGCTGCCACCATTTGGTCGATCATCTTGATGAGTTGGACGACCTGGGAGCGGTCGTGGCGCTTCTTGTTGTTGAAGACGTGGTAGCGGTTGCCACATTTGTTGATGACCTCTCGGAGTTTGGGGCTGCCCTCCTGCACATATTCATGGATGCTTCTGCCTCTCAGCTCATCTCCACGTGTGAACAGGACAATCATGAACTGAGCCGCGCATGGACCAAAGATCTTCTCCAGAGCTTCCACACAGTGCTCCTCCTCTTTGGTGAATCTGCCCACCTGCAGCACCAGCAAGAAGACGTGAGGCCCAGGACTGGACATTTGGATGCACTTGGTGATCTCCCTCTCAATGATCTTTGCACTCTTGGAGGTGTCCAGGATGCCAGGTGTATCCACCACATGGATCTTGCGCCGGCTCCGGACCCTCTCCGTCTCACAGTACTCCGTCACAGATTTGGCACCGGTGGAGGACTTGAAGATCTTCTTGCCCAAGAGAGTGTTTCCCACAGCACTTTTACCCACGCCCGTCTTTCCAATCATCACGATCCTGAGAGCGCCACCTGCAGAGGACGGGCTGGGGTCAGATCTGTTCATGCTCAAAGCCATTACTGATATGGGCTGTTTAATATGAACAACATTCAGTAAACGTTTAAGAAAATGAGCGATGTCCAGAAGGAGGAGGGCAGATGTAAAATAACTGTAGTAATTTCAGTTAGGTGCTCTGCTCATGAAGAACAAGGCTCCAGATTGTTTATTAAAAAATATTTAAATTACAAAATATTTGAAAAATAATAATGAAAAACAATGGATGGATCACTGGGGGAAAAAAAGGAATCCCACACATCTGTATTTGCCTCTGTGTTTCATGAGTAAAAAGTATTGTGCTTACGCAAGCTTACCTGCTGGAAGTGAGTCTCGATTGCCCATGTTGCTCTGAGTGTAGCAGTGAAGGAGTGAAGAGGGACCAGAGGTGAGGAAGTCAAATAACCTTTCTGACTCCGCCCCAAAAGAGAGCAGGAGGCGGGGCCTCTGAACACCTCTTTAACCTGGCGTCAGGTTCATCAGATTTAGTCTGGAGCTTCACTCCGTCACCTCCACCTCACCATGGAACACAGCAGCCACAGTGAGTCTCCTCTTAAGGCTACAAAAGTCAACTGTATTCACCTCTCTGTTGTTCTGGTCGTGGTAAAATGATCTACACCTCCATCTCACCCTCTGCTCTGCATCCTCTGATTTCTTCATCTATTTGACCTCTGTTTCTCTACACTTGTGAATATTCTTTGTGGTCTTCTTCCAGGCGTTTTGCCCAGTAAACTTCCGCATGCTTCTTCAAATATGATTGCTGTGTTTCAGCTGCACTACTCCATTGAATTCCGTGTCTGGCACTATTCCACTGAATTCCTTCAGAACATTGTTTACAGATTAATGACAGTGGGAGGGGCTTTACACGCTGCATGCTTCAGCTCAGTGTTTAATTTCAATTTGGAAAAGACACGTCCAGACGTTTACATTTACCTTATAAATCATTTTTGGGAAAATGTTCAAGTAATATGAATGATAAATGTATATATCCTATTTTTGTTGTAATTTGGTGCAATATTATAAGTTAAAAAAATTAACAAAATTATAGCTGCAAGCGGCAATGATCGGCCCTTTACCGCTCCCCATAAATGCTTTGCCCTGCAAACACCGTGCATGCAAGTGCTGCACCAGCAAACGCAGCACCCGCAAATGCCATGCGTGAAAACACCATGCCCACAAATGGCGCAACCGTGTCCCACACTATCCCTAAGAAACATAAACCCCAACCATGACTCTAACCCCTGACCCAACCCTAACGCTAAGCCCAACCCTAAACGTAACCCTAAACTTAAACCTAACCCTAGTAGTAACCCTAACCATAACCCTAACCATAACCTAATCCTGCCATTTTTCCAAATTTTGATGTGTGTTTATTATTTTTAATCCAAGATGGTGGGCTTCCAGTTTGTAAAGGGGCATAGTCACAATATAAAATAGAATAGAATATTAGAATAGAATATTAGAATAGAATATTTTTGTTCTTGCATCTGTTATGCATCTGGCTACCAAATTTTCTTTGCACTAAACAATGTGCACGGGGGTCCCATTGGCAAGGACAGATTTTTGGCTTGTCACCATGGCAACACAATGTAAATGAGGTGTGGGTGTCATTCAGTTTTGAAATCGAGACCATGTGAGTACCAAATTTTGTATATGACAAAAAACATTGTTTCATACAAATTACTTAGGGGACACTACTGCATCCATTTTTGTATTTTCTTACATCAGTCTGCTGAGGGTTGGGGTGTGAACCTACGATTAAAATTTGAGAGAAATCTGCCAAAATTTGTGCAGTTTGTTGATTTTACCAATGGACTAACATGGAGAGTTTCTGTCATTGCTATGAAGACACTGTAAAAAATACAACATAGGTTTCATTGACTTTTTGGATCAGAATACCAAAACTGAATTTTGTGCAAAATTTCAGAAAATTTTGAAAAACTAAATTTTTTCTTCCATATAAAATTTTGTTTCAATCTGTAAGGGGCACTAATGTGCCAAATTACACATTCAGTAGTTTTAGTGCAGAGAATTTAACAACAGATTTAAATTTCACTGAAATCTTAGTTTATATGTGCAAATGGGAGCAATTTGTAAAAATTCAAAATTTCCAAAATTCGGGAAAATATTTATTGCTTCATTGCTCAGAGACTATAAGTAAAAATTTTGATAACTTTTGATGTTCCACCTTTGGGTGAACGCCCTCGGTGGAGTGAGTAAAAGTATGAAAATTACAAAAAATGCTGAGTCATGACCTTCTTCACGTCACCGTGGGGTCATTGGTGAGTGACGGGGGCGTCTGCATCATCTCGTCAGGGTCGCCCCCTGACCTCCCACTGACTTCCATTCATTTTAGCAGTGATAAATACGCCCATGTGCTCATCATAGCAAACACAATAGGCCCTACACCCTGTCGGGGGTCGGGCCTAATAATATTCTGATATGAGAGTGATGTTCCACTCTACATTTTCAAAAAGCTCTGGAGCATTTCTACATCATGGCGAGGGTCTCAGGTCACTACAGGAGAGTTACGTCACATCATTTCACTTCCCGCCCACTAGGAGCTTCACTTCAATGAGAGAGCCACCTCCAGATGTTGAGTACCTAGCTGGAGGATCATGTATGTAGCAAATGCATTTGGGAATGTCATCAAAGTGAGTCTGAGGTGCAGAGCTGTTGGTGTTTGCACTGTTTAAATGATGGTTTCTGTTTCAGACATGTCCACCATCGTGCTGCTGGGGAGTGAAGCTCTGAAAAGGCTGATAGTCAGACTCATCATAGGGGATCAGGAGGACTGTCAGCGTGTGTCCAGTGAGTGCAGTGATTGCAAAGTTGCTCAGAGCAAGGACTTTCGAGTGGTCATTGCTCCGGACATCTTTGACAAGAACAACAAGTATGTAGACCAGCATGTGATAGACCTCATGGCCCTGTCACTGCCCGGGCCTCACATCTTCATCTTAGCCATCGACCAGCAGAATGAAGAGGAGACAAGGAAGCAGATAGAAATGCTCCACAACTATTTTGGTGACATGTCTCAGAATTTCGTTGTTATTTTTCGTGACATCGAGAGCTTCCTGAAATTCAAATGTTTAGAGAAAGAGTTCAACATTTTACTGACCACAGCTAATGAAAAGCTGGACTCAATGTGCAGAGAGTGGTGTGGGCGCAAACCCTTTATATACAAGTACAACAACTACAGTGAGGTCGTGGTGAAGAGTAGAAGTGCCCTCTTTAGGCCGAGGTACACCTCCAGAATGTCCCTGTTCTAGATTGTTTTGAAAAGCAAGGCTGATTTATTCGTGTTATTTCAGAAGTGATGATGCTCCAGTGTCTGGTCATGATGAGACAGCTGCAGCACAGCCTCAGTCTGCAGACTCTTCTCTCACACATGGTATTGTTGAGGAAAAAAAAAATATTGTGATCAATGTTTTGACCAGTGGGTCTTCCAAGCCCGTAAATCCATGTCATGTGGTGTAGGATGGATTCATGATGATGTCAACTTCACAGCTGACAACTATGAAAAACATAGAAAATATGGATCAGATTCACATAGCCTACTTGACTACATATTATACTGCTTTACTAACTGCTGGTCACTGCCATGGATCTATTAAAATAACTTGATAAGGTATAGAATTTGCTGTGATTTTTGCAGATTTTCAGATGATTTTCTCTGTGTAAAGGTTTGTGTGTTGAGCGGAACGACAGTTTCAATCAGGCCGTAGCTGGAATGAATGTCGACTCCAGGCCAAGGTACACCTCCAGAATGTCCTTCTTCTAGATCCATTTGAAAAGCAAGCCTGATTTGTTCATGTTATTTCAGAAGTGATGATCCTCCGGTGTCTGGTCATGATGAGACAGCTGCAGCACAGCCTCAGTCTGCAGACTCTTCTCTCCCACATGGTATTGTTGAGGAAAAAAAAAATATTGTGATCAATGTTTTGACCAGTGGGTCTTCCAAGCCCGTAAATCCATGTCATGTGGTGTAGGATGGATTCATGATGATGTCAACTTCACAGCTGGTCATGATGAGACAGCTGCAGCACAGCCTCAGTCTACAGACTCTTCTCTCCCACATGGTATTGTTGAAAATATTTACATTTCTGAACATTTGAACATATGGGGAAACCTAACATTTTCTATGAGCCTCCAACCACACCATATTTGCAAATGTTAAGAGGATTTTGTTGCTTATTCAAAAGGTTGGATTTTGTGTAATATTTTGGATTATTTTTATATCATCAACTTTTTCTCAGTCCAAAATCCTTTCTATATTAAAATCTATTCTTGTTCTGCGCCGCTGTAGCTACTCTCACTCTGAGTCAAGTCAATGAGCACACAAGACAGGTGATCTCACACGGTTCTGGGGAGCTCCTCAGAATCCTAGTACCTGACAGTGTGCTGTTTGCACTAACCTGCTGACTGTGATGGGTTAAAAAACAATGGTACCATCGGATGATACAAGGAGACACATTAAGATCACTCACTGTCTTAATTAAAACATGTGGCTGTAGTATGTTGAAGTGTTTATTAAATGTGCCAGAGTCAGGATGGCGTCCTCTATGCTTCTGTTACATTTATCAGTAAATTGCATGAGATCTAGAAAACACCTGATCTCAGACTTAACGATTCCAATAACATTTTTTCACATCACAAGACACATCATAAACGAAGTGCAACAGGATGATAGTCATTGTTGTCCTGACAGCTCACTTTTTTGGGAACAGGTCTAATAGAACTTTTCCAGATAGCTGGAACAGTGTGCTGGCTCCAAGCCTCTGCCATTTCACTGCTGCATGAGTTTAACAAGTGCCCTGAAATACTGTTTGGTCCAGAGGGGACACATATGTTAGAAAAGCAACTGAACAATTTGCTGATCGATTATCAAATTCCCAGTTTCCAGGGCAGAGTCTAAAGCAGCTAAGCCTTCCAGAGCTGCCTGTTGCTCTTGTGAAAAGTCTCTGGTCTCAAACCTGCAGATAAAGTCACTGAGCTCTGCCAGCCACTTCACTGACTTCAACCAGGGTGATGGACGAGTCCACCTCTAAGTCCCCAGCCTCTGGTTCCAACGGTGGGATTGAGGAGATTCTAAAGTATTCCTTCCACCACCCAACAACATCCTCACTCGAGGTCAACAGCTCTCCCCCCGCACTGTAAACAGTGTTGGTGAAGCACCGCTTCCCCCTCCTCAGGCACTGGATGGTTTGCCAGAATTTCGTATCTGATAATCCTCCTCCCCCTTTTGCCTCTGCAACTGCACGTGCTGCAGCCTGTCCATACCCTTCAGCTGCCTCAGAAGTCCCACAAGCCAACAAGGCCTAATAGGACTCCTTCTTCAACCTGAGTGCATCCCATACTTCCAGAGTCCACCCCCGGGTTCAGGGATTTCCACTGCGACAGGCACCACAGACCTTACGACCACAGCTACGAGCGGCCACATCCACAGTAGAGGCCGAGAACATCTTCTTGGCATTTCTCTGCAATCAGACTCAAATTTCTAAGGTTTATTATTTGTTCTTGCTGGAGTTGACATTTCTATCTGTGAGCATGGGGGAAAAGTCATCCAAAGAAATCAGCGAATCAGACACGTCCTCCTGTAACCACGTCTTCGTGAACACAAGCAGACTTGACTCTCGAAACTTGTGTGTTAACCTGCCGTTAATTCTAAGTTCATCACTTTTGCTCTTCAGTGAGTGAACATTGCTAAGAAGCACTGAGGTACGTTATGGTGTTAGGAGTTAGGAGCATGGTTACCACTGTGTCCCGATGCTCCAGTGTGCCCCAGTACTCCAGTGTGTCCCCAGTACTCCAGCGTGTCCCAGTACTCCAGCGTGTCCCAGTACTCCAGCGTGTCCCAATACTGCAGCGTGTCCCAGTACTCCAGCGTGCCCCGGTACTCCAGTGTGTCCCAGTACTCCAGCGTGCCCCGGTACTCCAGTGTGTCTCAGTACTCCAGCGTGCCCTTGTACTGTACTGTATGAGGGAGCCCAGGTCGCAGCAGAGTAACACCACAGGTTTTGAAAATCTTCTCACACTAGGCAGGAGGGATTTATGAAATTCCAATGACCCGTCTTGAGCTGTCTTGAGTTGGCTTAGTGGCTAAGACAGCTCTAAGCTAGCAATACCCTATCCAGTAATTGGAATAGATCCACGACTAATACAAATGACTTTTGGGCTGCACAGACACCAGACCTGCCTGGTCACTAAAGGCTAATCTTACAACGATGGCCTCGGTCCATCCATTCACTTAACCGGGCAGCCAGAGATGTCTTTAACACACTGACACTTTTGCTGCCCTGTCCCTGTGCATTTTTGAGTGAAAACATTCTGCTTCATTCAGTGGTGCTAGATATAAATTGTCTGATCTTCTTTCTTTTTTGGGGGTAAAATATTGAGAACCTGAATCAGGAAAACACAACTAGAAAACCTTCCTCTGCCCGGGTGAACAGCACCAAACAACTTATGGAAAACTCATCCACTGATCCATTTATTTACTAGTTTCTTAATAAATTATGCAACTATGTGAGCACACAGCATCAACATTTTACAGCATCAAGATTTTGCCAGATAAGAAAGCAACACGAGACCCCAGTCTGCCGTACATTACATCTTAAAGCCACTAACCACATGAGGATAGTGAGGTACAGATCCAAGCCAGAGAAAAGAAATGGTTTGAGGGGGGTTAAAGAGGCTATTTTTATTAAGAAAGAGAATACTTTTTTTATGGAGGCCCTGAGAGGCAAGAAAGAAAAAAAGAGGCAGGTCATTTGTTTTTTTTTGTTTTTTGTTTCACCAACTCAAAAAAAAAATAAAAAATCTACAATTTATTTTTTTTCAAAATTTTTTTTTTTTTTCTCTTGTGTTTTTTTTTTTTTGTAAAACCCATGAGAAGACTGTATTCATCAAGAATGAATATGAATGTAACCAGGAGCAGGTGAGTTTTGAACACTGGCCTCCCACATCCTAACCCAGCGCCTAATACCAGGAGCTAATGCTCCACCAGTTTACTAATGCTGTTTGGTATTTACAGGAATATACTGGGAAAACAGGTATTTTTTAAATGACTTTTTTTGTTCGGTAGCCTCACTTTTTCATTGCTTAGTCATAACATAAACTCTTACCAGTCTGAGTAGCTCATCAGAACAATGAGATTTGCTGCTTTTTATGAAGAAATAGTTAATATTATGCAGAAATGAACTAAGCATTTTGGCCCGGCCCTCCACAATATGTTCAGGTAGTTCGTATAGAAAAAAATTTCACAAAATAATTTTCTTCATGTGTGCATGAGATCTTGTCCCATCACTACTGCAATTTCTTTCTTAAAAAGAGATGTGGCGTCCTCCCTCGGATGTCCAGTCTAGCCTAACAAAATCGATCACCATTATGACAACAAGGTGCTAAAAATCTTGTGAGGAACATGAAATAGTGAAACTGGAGCCTGTGCTAAATCAGTCAACTAAAATCCTCCCTAATAATCCAGCAGGTGAAAATGGTGTGTATATTTGGTGTACGACCAAAACAAGGCACTCTCCGAGCAGGGGTGTAGTTATGTGGTGGAATGAAGAGGCCACAGCTCCTGCTGCCATGAACCTTGCAGTAGTGAGCAGGTTTTGCTGTTGACAGTGAAATACTGTGGTAATGTGAGCAACGTGTTGGGCTATTAAAACATACTTTTAAGAACAGTCAAATCAAATGCAATGAATCACAAGTTACAGTTTTTCTCCATTGGTTTGCCTCATTTCTTGAAACAGAAATGACATTCTTAAAACTATAAGATCATTTGGCCAAATAGTCTGATAGTTCTGCACAACATTACAGCTCACAGCAAAAGCTCAGATCTCTCCCAAAACTGTTCACACAGGCTTCAAAACAGATTTCCCATATAAAGAGTCAGGACCATCAAAATTGCAAAGATCCTTCTCAGTTGCTTTGGCTCTTTTGCATTCACTTAGTGCTTTTGTCAAAATAACCTGGATGGTTCAGCACAACACCATGCAGCAAAAGCTCAGATCTCTCCCAAAATACTTTACCCATGTGTCAAAACTAAACTCCTTTCTCATGGAAATAGTCATTGCCCCCAAAATGCGTCATCCCTTTGGCCTTGTGTCACTGCAGCTCAAAATGACTCAATGCTTTGTCACTATGGCAGAGCTCAAACTAACACAATGCAGTTATGGATAAAACTGAAAAAAAGAGGCGACTTGTACAGAACCATGTGCAAAGATGCACTGAGACACTTGAGACATGCACTAAGACATTTACAATTTGATGAAATCAGTGAGAAAAGTCATTCTGTTGTGAAAGACTGCAAGAAAAATTGTAACTCAGGACAATCGTCCGATTAATCATAATTAAAGGTTTGAATCGACTGACAGACCAAAAAGAAATACATAAACTCAAGCACACATTCAGACCACATCACACACAAATGTGTAAAAGGGACCAAAATGATGGTGACACTGTGTTTAAACTGTGTTTTTCAGATAATTCTCCAGATATAAGAAGAGTCAACATAATTCTCTTGGGGCTGACGGGGACTGGAAAGAGTGCCTCTGCAAACACCATCCTCAAAGAATTCAAATCCAACACAAAGTTTGAGTCCAGGTCCGACTCTCTGCCCACCACCAAGAAGTGCCAGAGTGAAACAGTGAAATACAAAAAACAAGACATTGAGCTGATGGTGGTGGACACTCCTGACTTCTTTCATGAGTCTATTCAGAACTGTGAGGAGCAGTTAGAGGAGTGTAAGAAGTACCTGAAGTCAGATCATTACGTGGTGCTGTTGGTGATCAAGGTGGGGCGCTTCACTGACCAAGAGATGAACATACTGGAGAAACTAGAGAAGAAACTGGACGTGACCATTCGGGACAAAACCTTCCTGCTGCTGACCGGTGGAAAGGACCTGAAGAAAAGAAAAGTCATTGATGTCATCAAAGAGAATGAAGAGTTACAGAAAATAGCCGACCAGTGCAGCCACCGCCACCATGTGTTTGAAAACCAGAAGAAACATTCAAAGCAAGTTCAAAAGCTCTTTGAGAAAATGTGTCATTCTAATTTGTTTTTTGTTCCCTGCAAAAAATAATGGAATGTCCATGGAATCTGAATGGAGTGCCTCAATTTTATATGAGTACAACATTAAAGGTGGAATAAATATGCATTTTTTTAAAAAAATCCTCTTTTCCCCTTTTGATTACAAATGAACAGACAAGTCTGGCAAGAACATGGACACAGGCAAAGTAGTACAAATATTTATAAAGCTTTATTTAATTTACATCCATTCAAAAAGTCTTCTCTTTCTTTTAGTTTAAGGTGCAACAGTTAACAAAATGAACCACCAACAGATTAGCCTTTGCACATGTATTTAACGACCTAAAGACGACAAAATGTAACCTAATGAAGGTATGTAATGTAACGACGACTCTGGAGTAATAAGAATCTCTTATCAAGAGGGACACCATTTTTTTACTCACCATCAGAGGTGAACTATGTTCTCACTAGTGGCTCTAGTATCATTCTGTCAGTGTCAGGGTCACTGGCACCACAAAACTTTGTCACAAGATTTACACAAAACAAGAGCCTCCATCAGCACTTTTACATGAACACATTCAGTGGTATTAAGGCAGACTGACTAATACAAACAACTGGAATCAAGTTTAGTTCAAAGGTAAAGCACGACTCACCTGGTCTTTGGGTGTAAGACACTTTGTGATTAAAAAATAATCCCACATTTCCCTCTGCACACACACACACACACACACCTACACACACACACACACACACACACACACACACACACATACACACACACACACACACACACACACACACACACACACACATCACACACACACACACACACACACACACACACACGCACATACACACACACACACACACATACACACACACACACACACACACACACACACACACATACACACACACACACACACACACACATACACACACACACACACACACACACACACACACACACACACACACACACACACACACACACACACACACACACACACACACACACACACACACACAAACACACACACACATCACACACACACACACACACACATACACACACACACACACACACACACACACACACACACACACACACACATACACACACATACACACACACACACACACACACACAACACACACAACACACACACACACACACACAACCACACACACCTACACACACACCTACACACACACACATACACAACACACACACACACACACACACAACCACACACACACACACACACACAACCACACACACACACACATACACAACACACGCACACACACACACATACACACACCCCCACACACATCCACACAAACCCCTACAAATACATACACACACGCACACACACACACACTGACACACGCATACACACAGACACACACGCGCACACACACTGACGCACACACAGACACATACACACACAAATATGTTAAAATACATAAGACCACACATAGTAAAATGTGAGGCTGAATACAGGTGAACCAGTTGAGAAAACACCAGCAGAGGAGACGTCTACACCGGGAGCAGAGAGACGTCTACACCGGGAGCAGAGAGACGTCTACACCGGGAGCAGAGAGACGTCTACACCAAGAGCAGAGAGACGTCTACACCAAGAGCAGAGAGACGTCTACACCGGGAGCAGAGAGACGTCTACACCGGGAGCACAGAGACGTCTACAGTAGAGAGAGGAGCAGAGAGACGTCTACACCAAAGAGCAGAGAGACGTCTACACCAAGAGCAGAGAGAGACGTCTACACCGGGAGCAGAGAGACGTCTACACCGGGAGCAGAGAGACGTCTACAGAGACGTGGGAGCAGAGAGACGTCTACACCGGGAGCAGAGAGACGTCTACACCGGAGCAGAGAGACGTCTACACCGAAGAGCAGAGAGACGTCTACACCAAGAGCAGAGAGACGTCTACACCGGGAGCAGAGAGACGTCTACACCGGGAGCAGAGAGACGTCTACAGTGGGAGCAGAGAGACGTCTACACCGGGAGCAGAGAGACGTCTACACCAAGAGCAGAGAGACGTCTACACCAAGAGCAGAGAGACGTCTACACCAAGAGCAGAGAGACGTCTACACCGGGAGCAGAGAGACGTCTACACCGGAGAGCAGAGAGACGTCTACACCGGGAGCAGAGAGACGTCTACACCGGGAGCAGAGAGACGTCTACACCGAGAGCAGAGAGACGTCTACACCGGGAGCAGAGAGACGTCTACACCGGGAGCAGAGAGAGAGCCGTCTACACCGGGAGCAGAGAGACGTCTACACCGAGAGCAGAGAGACGTCTACACCGGGAGCAGAGAGACGTCTACACCAAGAGCAGAGAGACGTCTACACCGGGAGCAGAGAGACGTCTACACCGGGAGCAGAGAGACGTCTACACCAAGAGCAGAGAGACGTCTACACCAAGAGCAGAGAGACGTCTACACCAAGAGCAGAGGAGACGTCTACACCAGAGAGACGTCTACACCAGAGCAGAGAGACGTCTACACCAAGAGCAGAGAGCAGAGAGACGTCTACACCGGGAGCAGAGAGACGTCTACACCGGAGCACAGAGACGTCTACACCGGGAGCAGAGAGACGTCTACACCGGGAGCAGAGAGAGAGAGAGACGTCTACACCGGGAGCAGAGAGACGTCTACACCAAGAGCAGAGAGACGTCTACACCAAGAGCAGAGAGACGTCTACACCGGGAGCAGAGAGACGTCTACACCGGGAGCAGAGAGACGTCTACACCAGACGAGAGCAGAGAGACTCTACACCGGAGCAGAGAGACGTCTACACCGGGAGCAGAGAGACGTCTACACCGGGAGCAGCAGAGACGTCTACACCGGGAGCAGAGAGACGTCTACACCGGGAGCAGAGAGACGTCTACACCGGGAGCAGAGAGACGTCTGCTGCCACCAGACGGCCTTTAACATTAAAAGTCCATTTTATCTGAACGTTCAAAATTCTTGTACCATATCATTCACCCATATCTGGAAATAACATCACAACATCACAAATCAGTCATCAATAAATTATCTGAATCAATCATGATCTACATAAATGAAGAACATTTCGTGTATCAAAAGGAGAGAATATGGACTAAAGCTGTGGTTTAATCGAGACTGGAGCGTCAGATCTGTAGAATCACACTGAGGGTTGAGGTGGCCACATGCTCCAAACAGTGACTCTGAGCTCAGGCGGCATCAGGCTATGAGCTGATTTCTGTAAGTGACTCTGCAGCAGGGGTCTCCAACCTTTTTCTTCCAGTGAGCTACGTTTACTAAAAGAAAATGCAAAAGAGCTTCTCATTTTAGTGGTTCCAAGAAATGGAGCATAGAAAAGTCTTAGATGGGGAACAGTTAAATATCTATAAAACATAAACCTTTATCCATTTATTAGTGCACAAAGTTGGGCATCAAAATGATACATTTACAATGTCGTTCATCATTTGAATCATTCTGTACAATATGTACATTTCAGAAATCTTTTGGTGAGATGTTTGGAAGGGCGTGGAGAGCTGCTACAAGTTGGACACTCCTGCTCTGCAGGTTGTTCTGTCAGGCTCCAGTTACACAAGAGACCTCAGTTTCAGGAAGTTCTGTCAAGGTTTACAGTAATAACATAATTGTGAAGAACAATGCATGGAATCTGAGATGAGATGATACATGATTGATGGACACAAAGTTACGCCTAATCAAGTCAAGCGTAATAGCCAAGTATTAAATGTTCTCTTTTTAAATACAAGATGTGTTTTATTGTGAAAGGATTTGAGTGATATGTTAATAGAATGTAACCTCCATCTTGGCTATTTGAAAAACAAACAAAATGTAAGTTCATTTTGCTGCTGTGTTCAATAGAAAATGTGAACTTGTGATGTTCTGATGAAGACATTCATCTGTGTCATTAATCTGAGAAATTTTCATTACATAACTATAGACTGAATAAAAGAAGTGGACTAAGTGAGTGTGACGTTTCCCACAGCGTTCAGCACCGCTCAAATGAGGCTCGTGATGCTCACAGTTACAGGAAACAGTAACACAGGCTCTATGTTATGAATAGGATTTTTTGATGGACAAAGTAGTGAAAAGAAATTCAGGATCATGTAAAGCGAGTTAATATGAACATTTAAAGGCCAAAATGACGAGACTCACAGCAGCAGGTACAGAGAGAGGAGCCACAAGATCCTAATGTAAGTCCACTGGAGCCAGAGTCAGAAGGAGCAGGAAGAGCCTCCTGGAGAACTTCCTATTTGGCAGACGGCAGCGAGAACATTAGCTACGTCCACTCATATATACAGTCTATGTACATAACAGGGGATCTGTTTACCAACCAATTCAAACCAGATGGTAACAAGGCGACGGCGGCAGTGTGTCAACGTCAGCACAGAACTATACTTCACCCTTTAGTCCTGGTTCAGTCCTGGTTCAGTCCTGGTTTCAGTCCTGGTTTAGTTCTGGTTTAGTCCTGGTTTAGTTCTGGTTTAGTCCTGGTTTAGTTCTGGTTTAGTTCTGGTTTAGTCCTGGTTTAGTTCTGGTTTAGTCCTGGTTTAGTCCTGGTTTAGTTCTGGTTTAGTCCTGGTTTAGTTCTGGTTTAGTTCTGGTTTAGTCCTGGTTTAGTTCTGGTTTAGTCCTGGTTTAGTCCTGGTTTAGTCCTGGTTTAGTCTGGTTTAGTTCTGGTTTAGTCCTGGTTTAGTTCTGGTTTAGTCCTGGTTTAGTTCTGGTTTAGTCCTGGTTAGTCTGGTTTAGTCCTGGTTTAGTCCTGGTTTAGTTCTGGTTTAGTCCTGGTTTAGTCCTGGTTTAGTTCTGGTTTAGTCTGGTTTAGTTCTGGTTTAGTCCTGGTTTTAGTCTGGTTTAGTTCTGGTTTAGTCCTGGTTTAGTTCTGGTTTAGTTCTGGTTTAGTCCTGGTTTAGTCCTGGTTTAGTCTGGTTTAGTTCTGGTTTAGTTCTGATTTAGTCCTGGTTTAGTTCTGGTTTAGTCCTGGTTTAGTCTGGTTTAGTCCTGGTTTAGTCCTGGTTTAGTTCCTGGTTTAGTTCTGATTTAGTCCTGGTTTAGTTCTGGTTTAGTCCTGGTTTAGTCCTGGTTTAGTCTTGGTTTAGCTCAGTCATCTTTAATATGTACAAAGTTTGCACTGAATAAAGTTTGTCTGTATCACCTAAAAGTTGATTAAAATGACTTGT